ACTAAGCGTTAAGCTATAGGAGCCGGCAGACTCAGACGTCAAATAACGTTTAGTAATTTACTAATGCAGCTAAATGGAGAAAATGAAACATCACATGGTGCCAAATGAGAAGTGTATAAAAGGGTAAGGACTACAGCCACAGTTGTGTGATAAAAACACAGATAAAAACTAGATCAAAATGCTACCTTCACATTTTCCTCCATTTTCAGTTTCACCCTGAAATAATTCTGACGTCATGAGCACGATTCCATAATAGGTGAAAGCCACATTAAACCTGGAAATGAAATGGAAAAAAAATTGTTATATGACCCTTTTGCAAGTTTTATGAAACATAGGGAATATTTCACTTGATGTCTGATCTTGTCTGATCATTATGATTAATAAAAATACCCTCACTAATGTTAGTAAAGCTGCCACCATGCCTGGAAGGTCTTTGAAAGGGGGGAGGGGGGTGTTGGAACAACCACCCAGCCCCTCCCCTTTTCTGGAGCTGGCTATGATCTTGGGGAGATTTATCAGTTACAAACTACAATTATTGAATGAGGTATTTGTTAYATGAAAAAATCAAGTTCAATGAAAGTGTGATGGTGTGCAACCGTAAATATCAACAATGATTTAAAGTTATTGTCTAGCCAATGATCTTTTTGGTAATTTTTAGGTACTCTAAATCTGTTAACTAAATTATCACATTTTAGATATGCATAATACTGGAGTTATTTGGCAGGTAGAGATATAACTTACCATAAAAACCATAATTTAATTGTGGCACTTGCAAATTCTTTGTTAAAAAGATCTCTTACTTTTCCTACTCTAGCTGTCTATAAAGAAAATAGACAATCATTTTATAAGACAAAAAAGAAAAATCCCAAAGGGATTGAAGAAAAGTAGTGGTTTGCCATGCCTTGTGATAATAATTTTGGGGAAATACTTCTTAAGGCATATAAAGTCGATAACTTTATTCCAGACGTTTCGCCTTTTCAGGCTTCATCAGTGGATACAACTGAATGGCTAAGGTTTGAATAAACTACAAAAGTTATGCGAAAAATATATTATTAGGTTCATTGTTATTAAATGTTTAAGTAACGTCCAACGCAGCCATTCATAAGGGTGTCAGAGCTAGTGTTCTTTATTTCAATGGCTTCTATTATCCTTCTCTCGCGTACATTGTGTAGGTTGGTATGTATGACCTTCCACTTTAAGTCATTAAAGCTCGGTTCACTGGGTGTGTTTTGTCATATGAACATGGACAGTTTGTTGTGTGTTTACATGTTCTTTAATCCAAAGGGATTCTTACCTGAACTGCGTCCTTTAGGTAACCAGTAGGTACATGAGCTTTGTTTGCTTTGGCAATTTTATGAAGAAGAATTAAAGCCTTATCCCTCTKCCCTATTGTTAGATAGTAGCGACATGATTCTGGGAGATACTAGGAAGAATATTATTTTTATTAGAAAATTGTGTATTTAATTATGTATTATTATCCAGTGTTCTGATGTTGTGGGCTTCCTGTACCCACCTAGGAAGTCACCTCACAGGAAGCTGAGAACAAGAACAAGCTGTGACAAAATTCTCATCTTTCAGGATGGTCTGTGACCACTATATGATTAATAACATGAGCCCTTTGTATTACTTACTTTACTCAACATTGTAAAGATGATTAAAGGTATTGCCAGGATTGCAAGTAGRAATCTCCATCCTAACGTTGGCATGACAACCATTGCTATTAATATAGTGAAAAATGAGCCTAATGTCCACCAAGGCTGAAAAAAAGGTAAAAAATGTAAACAAGAATAAAGACTTTTTTGAAGCCTTCTAACTGCACAACTTACAATAACAAAATCACTACAATATCACCTTTGTGGTACTTACACTTTGAGCACACATACATATGGCTCTGTATTTACTTGGAAGGTACTCTGAGACCAGAGTTGCACTGTTGGTGGTAATTAAAATATGTTATAGCTTTGGTATGGAAAATATTAGCAACAATTCCTCCTAGAACGGTATTAATCTTGTGACAAAAGTGTGACCTAACATATTACAAGTAAAATGAGATTATATTTTAAATCTGATTGCATAACTTGATTCATGAGAGATAATAATGACTCCATCTCTGAGAAGTTTTACAATGATCACTTTATTATTACTTATTATTATTACTTTATTATTACTTATTATTGACATTAACTTACGATTGAGGTCCTCCACCAATACCAAATCCAACAAGCATCCTAAGAGCAATTATCCAGTAATAGTGAGGAGAAAAAGAGCTTAAAAATCCAAAATATGAAATCCACATAGCACTTAATACTACAACCTTGAAAAAGAAATAAAGATTGAAATAAACAGGACTGAATAAATGAATGAAATAAAAGAATGAATTGTTTGATAAGTGGAAAAAGGATTGATGGATGTCAGATTGATTCTCAATACTAGATCAACAGATAGGCAGATCAAAGATGAGCAAATTTGTAAAAATAATGCATTTAAAATGAAAGATGAACAGATTAATGAAATATGGTAATGCATGAATGAAATGATAAAATCTATAAAAAATCATACTYACAAATTTTCTACCAAATTTGTCTGCAGCCCAGCCAAATACAGAAGATCCAAACATCATTCCTATAAAGACAACCTACAAAACAAAACAATCATGTGTTTGTCAAGTAAATCTTAGTATTCCATGAAGTGGGAGCCCTTGGGCACAGGTAACCCATCATGTSAAGTAGAAATAAACTTACTGTTGTTATAAAGGCTTCTTTCCACGCACTAATATGGAATATACATCGTATGGTTGGTGCAAGAATGGATAGCAACATCATCTCTAAAGCTTCCGATGCCTGTCACATAAAACCAGGATTATTATTAATATTTTTTGGACAATTACCAGAGGACATCAAGACAGTTGGACAAAGAAAAAAAAGACAAATCTATCACAATGGTTATTAGACAACACTGGAATAGAAGATGAGTGATATGAATTATTATTATTTGTATAAATAGACTGACCTGAAAAAATCCAATGACTACCATTAACTTGATCTGGAACCAGCCAAATCCAATTCTATCCACAGCCTCCCCAACTGTATAGGTTTCCMTTTCATCATCAGAATCTTTTGAATTATTAGAAAAAAAAATCACATAATTACTTTTCATATATTAATACCCTGGTAGTTAGGTTTGGAAATRAAAATTCTGTCTCTGAAAGTGGCTGAATGGTCATCATAAGCTAGAGGGCATTTGCTCTACAAGCATGTCAGTAGATCAAACCTATCATCATTATATATTACATTATTTCGATTGGTCCTAGACTTGATGCGAAAGCGTTGTCTAGTATTAAATTGTAAATGTAAATGTAAATCATTCCCATCAGAGGAAGAATATTATATGATGGAAAATCTCCAGAATATTTTAAACCAGTGTTACAAGTCACTAGGCTAATGCTATCCTACCAGTATTCAAATGGATAAATATGGGAGAAACAACTAGTAAGTAAGCTATCCATCAATTATTAAAGTGGAATGACTGACGATGCAATGAAATGCACTATAGAAAAGTCCTTGTGCCAGTTTCCARTCTCGTATCCAGAGCCCACACTTTTGCCATCCAGCGGACGTCAATGCGYGAGAGACTTCTTTCTGGTGTCAGCATACYGCTGACATTAGCTGTGMAGACTCTGGGCTCRAGATTGGCCAGTTTCTGGCTTTGATACACTGTCACCACAGGTAATCCAATCTCATCTTGGGCTGAAAATTATCATTTTTTATGTTTCCATATTCTAGTTTAGCCAAAAAAAAACAAAAAAAACAAAAAAAACAGAAATCTCATATCCTCAAAAAGGCCCCCCACACCCCTCACCCCTCCAGCCCCAATGCTATAAACAAGGGCATCCACACAGCACAACTTGGTCTTCTATTGAGCTATAGTATATAAGACGATTGTAACATTGTAAATGATGCTCAAAGGCAACACCTTTCCCTGCCCTCATCAACAGCCTCTATTATTGAAAACGTCTTTCCCTCTCCAAAGCTCCCTCCCCTAGAGCTGCCAATGGCTAAACTGAGCCTATAAATGAATTGGGACACTTTTATTAAAAATTTCTTTTTCTTTTTTTTTTTTTCTTTCTTTCTTTCTTTCTTTTTTTTTTATAGACTTGACCGAGGTGCTAATGATAACAATTCATACGTGGACATTCTATTTTTTTAAGATTATAAACATTTTTATAGCTTTAATGTTCAGTAAACACAGCTGTAGGTCAAGTGTGCTGTAAAATAATTAGAATATAAGCTTTACAAATTTATTATGTCAACAGGAAACGATGTTTTTATAACATTCCCATTAAATATAATATATATCAAAATTCAATTTACCGTCTTTCAACACTCTTTGCATCAACGGTTCTTCATCATKGGCATTATYAACGAAGTCATCAAGACGAGTGATCTTGTGTCGTACCCTCCGTGTACTGCGATCGTAAAGTAATACTTCTGTCTCGCATTCGTCGTCGGTTGTTCCTGAATCACTCAGGCGAAGTTCACTCATAACACTAATAATACAAGATGTCCAAGAGCAAAAAGAGGTAAGCTTAATACAAATTATGTTAATCGACGGAATCGACGTGTCTGTATGACAATCATAAACCTTTGTCAATCATTATGCTCAAAATGAAGCAAGTCTCCATAGTAATGGAACTATTCGATAAATTTAGTCCTTACATTGCGTTGTTATCCATCGATGAACATTTCGTACTYGAGTAATGAAGGAGTATGTATCAAGCAACACTTTTTTGCTCAACTTGTGGTCKACAGTTTTCGASCACTCACTTTTGTATCTTCGTCGGAAATATGGGTTCCCTGTGGTAATGGATCGCGCCAATACATCTCAGGCAGCCCATAAATCWTTTAAGATTTTTTTAATTGTTATTAAAATTTTGGGTTGAATTGTAATTTGAACTATTATTCAAGACAAATTTAAACTTAATWCATTAAAAAAATGCATAGAGCTTAAATAATGCCAAGACAAAAACGTTCAACCTCTTACAGGGTTTTTTAACACACTTAAAAACACTTGTAAGCCGCGCCCTTTTTCACGACTTCCGGATTGAGTTTTTTTGAAAATATTTCCAACGAGGTAGCCTGCGTTCAGCTTAAACAGAGTTTTGGCTGAACGAAGGATACAACGAGAAGTATCGCCAGCACTTCTCTTCATAGGAGGATTTCAGTGACTAGGCTGCCTGTGGTCCTTCCCGGAAGTTGACTAAATATAAAGTGGGCTTCAAGGATTCTAAAAGTGTTGAGTGACACATTTGACATGGCACCATCACAGACATTCTTAAGAATTCCTCTTATTTTGTTACTGATCTTTCCTGTAGTCAGTGATGCAACTAACTCAACTTCTTCCAAAAATACCACAAAAAGCGCCAGTGAAAGTCAAACAAACGATGCCGCAAAATGTTTGAAAAGTTTGAACGATGTCAAACGTGAATTGACGTCCACAGTTCCTCCACTGCATGGATGGACAACAGACAACTATAATAATATCTCAAGGGCTTTATTCCCTGGAGTTAAGCTGCCATCGCTTTACATCAAAGTCACGCTACAATTCATTGTCAACGATACAGGCCCGGGTACAGGAAAACTCAGCGACGAAGTCCTAAAGTTCACTTGGAGTCAAAGTTGTATATTTGTATCTAACGTCTGTCTGAATGCAAAGACCGTGTTCTCTTTGGGAACGGTATATCCACAAAGAAGAGAGACTGAGTTGGTGTTGTCCTCTCACAAATTATGCGAAGATAACAGTGAAACGTACTGGATATACGCACTTTTGGGGGTAATGGATTTATATAGGAATTTTTATTATATATGTGCAATTAGAATAGGACCTGTTATAGTCCTGGCCTTCTTTCGTATCGCTCCCCGAACTCGCGGGGAAAGAGCAGGCGCGTAGCGTCCTTTACGCATCACGCACGTGCACTATGTGGCAAGGAAATATTAAAATTCAGTTTCGGGATTTTGTTATATAATTGTCTTTGCTAGCTCTGGAAACTACCTTGCATGAATTTTTAAAAGAAACTTATTACCCATGTTTTTCTCCGTCCAGTTTAAGTCTCATGTAGTATTCTTACGTAGTTCGCAAGTGAGTACACAGGATTGTGCAAAAATTTACCCTGTGTATCACAGAAAATTTGATTGAAAGGTCGTTGTTTTGTTATTTACTACTGACCAAAATAGCGTGGCAACAGTAGCGGGGATTTTGACAATGAATGTGCGCCCGCGACTACCGTGGATAATGTCTATTATTTTTACACCACTCAAACGTTAAATTCCCCGGTATTCCCCTGGGGGGGCAGGGGTTTCAATTGACTAGTGAATTATTTTTCCTCGTCATTTCAAAGGTTTGAATCGTACTACTGTCAGGTATAAGTTTAGAGTCAGTTTAGTCATTCACCTGCCCTTGTTGCATTTTCAGCTACCTTTCAAGATGACACTCGGAAGTGTTGAATTTTATTGGTAATGGAACTTTTGACCAATCTTGTACCCCAGTGCTTCATTTTTCTTTATAGTGCTAGTCGAGAAAAGACAAACTGGCTTGGTAGAAAACAAAGGCCCAGCATTTAATGTGCTAGGGGGCTATTGAGATTCTGATTGTCCATTTGCAACTTTGATCTCAATCTCAGACCCAGAGCTATAGCAAACATATTTGAAATTGAGCTGTAGTCAATTAGGGAAAATTTGGGGTAGTCAGAGTTGCATTCTCTAAACCATACAGAAAACAAGTTTTGAATGATTTTTATGATACCCCCAGTGGGGTATATTTTCATTAGATATTCCTCCATAGACAGCTCATAAGAACGATTGTCCACCGGCATTGACATTTTCTGTGAGATGTTTTTTTTTAAATCATATTGTTTTCATGATTTTAATTTTAATAAAAAACAAAAGCACTTACATGTAAACCTAACACAAAAATTTCCTGTTACATGGTTGTGTATCTCTTTTGGACCTTTTGAATAGTTTTGTAAATTACTGAGATCATAATAATTTATATTTAATTAAATTGTTCGATACTTATAAGAAATGTTTTTGTTTTTCAGTTACAAGACATTGCCATCATTCCCAATGTTTCTGATCCTCGAGTAAATACAGCACAATGTGTTGTGCCAGGTCATGAAGGAGATAAAGAGCAACCACTTAATGTAACCAATTGTAATCCTGATGAGTGGTACAACTATAGACTATACTGGATACTTTCAGCATCTGTTTTCCTTGCTATTTCTATTTGTTGGTATACATTCAATTGGATTCGTAGAAAACCTAAAAAAGATGGAAAATCTGAAGCGCAAATAAAAAATGAGGAGAAAAGAAAGGGAGTATTGACCAAGACTTTTTTTTTATCAGTTGGATGGATTTTCATTTTATCTGTTATCTTAATTGTATTTGAAATCATAAATTTCGTAAATTGTTATCAGCTTAAATCCAGTACTTGTATCATTATACTTCATTTTGTTTTTATAATTTTATTTTGGGTAGGCAATATTATAATAATTATTTTTTATTGTTGCAAATGTTGTAAATGTTGTAAATGTAGGTGCAAATGTAGTAACAAGGATTGCCTACTGTGTAAGAGTGCCAGAGGTATCTTGTTTGTGGGCAAGTGGTTTATGTTTCCCTGTATTTACCAGATTGTTTACCATTTATTGTGGGTGTTGTGTGCAGGTATCCCAGCTGATCCTTCTTGGGCTATTCCATTGTTTTTGTGTGAATGCTTAGTGATTTTTTCACTTGTTTGTGCAACATATTTTTTTCTTGAAGCTGATGGTAATGATACATGTATGGTCATACTTCAGCTATTCGTTAGTTTTATTGCAATATGCCTGGCTGTTTTCACAGTGTTAATATCATTTTTTGGCCGTAATGTTGCTGACATACCAACAAACAATATCTTTGAAATTATAATGGCCGCTGTGTTACTATGGGCAATTAAGAATTCTGGTCTTGCACCTGATAACAATGATAATGGTCAGGGAAGAAGGCAAGGAAATGGACAAGGGACAGAAATAGAAATGCAGACTGAGCAAGACAGGCAACAAGAACCATTGGTTACCATTGGTTAAGCAAAAGGCAAAGTTTAGACCTTGCACATGTTGTTGACATGCAGTATGTGCTGCACAAGTCTTATAGGCAGTTGTGCCGCCCATATTCTAGTCTTGAATGAACTATGTGGCAGGTATTGATAGTGTCATGCAGCCTTGCCTGATTTACACCTAGTAGTAATGCAAAAGAAAACACGTCAAGTGCAAGACTATTAATTGTTGCTTAAAGCATGGGATCATTGCATCATATGCACATTTCATTCTTGTTTACAAACGAGGCCGTAAAATAATTCAGTAATATTAATATTAGGATATAATTAACAATTAGACCTCGAGGTCGAGTAGAATACGAGCTAATAGCCCACGAGGCCGAGAGGTCTAATTGTTTTAGTATAAACATAATAATTGGTCAAATAATGAAAACAAATTGAAATATCCTTAAAATAATTTATTAATGAGATAGATTTTCCCATGAGTGGTCTATCACAAATTAGACCATTAGTAGAGTAGCCAATCACAGTGCAGTATGAGTGATAGACCATTAGTATGTTTATACTAATATGTAATAGACCTTTGAAGCTTTTACATCATATACCGTAATAGGCAATGCATTGTAGGATGTGTTTGGGACAGAACATGATGGATTTCTTGTTTTTCTGTAGAAACTACTGGAGGGGAAATAATGCATTGTAAATCAAGACAAGTAGTGATGTAAAAGGTTCAGAAGTCTATTGCAGATATAACTAAACTGTAAAACAGCACACAATATTGTAAGTAAATGTTATTCAGTAAATAAAATAACAATAAACCAAAGGTTTTGAATTGAGCTGGAGCAGTGTAAGAAATGGTGGTGAAAACAAGTCAATCTAGCTAGAGTTAAGTCAAATGCTTTATTTTATTAACAATAACAATATTTACCGGCTCAATACCATTATTTTCTATTGGGATTTGCTCATGCCATATTTAATATACTAACAATTTCTTTAATGATTTTTGTAACATCTTCATAAAAATAATATTATAGCACTGATAAAAATTCTTATTTTAGTTGTTTGTTTGTTTTTATCACAGAGGTTTTTTGATATTGTAGTTAGGTAGAAATAAAGAAAAATAGAATTACTTTGTGCCCACATTATTTTGTGCCCACCTATTAGAAAGTCATCTCACAGGAAGCTGAGAGCAAGAACAAGGTGTGACAAAATCCTCATCTTTCAGGATGCTCTCCCTTACTGAATTAAGACATGTTAAAAACATGTTGTTGGGGATATGTTTTAAACATGTTTTAAGATATATTTAAAACATATTTAAAATATGTAATAAAAAGTTTTGAAAGCATATTAAAAACATTATATTTTTCGAACATCAAAAATATGTTTTTAATATGCCATTTGAGAACATGTTTTGAACATGTTGTTTGAGACATGTTTTAATATTATTTAAAAGCTGTTATAAATATAAATGTGAATTTATATAAAAATAACGGCACAAGACACTTTTCAAGATGAAAATGGTTTATTTATTCAATAAATGAATAATATGTCTATAAATAAACAATATGTCTATAAATATAATAAATAAATGAATAATATGTCTATAAATAAACAATATGTCTATAAATAATAAATAAATAAATAATATGTCTATAAATAAATAATATATATTGTCTAGCCTTCTTGTGGTTCTTCTTTGATCTGAAAAAAACGAAGATGTCCATTCAATACTTTTACCTGCCTTTCTATCAAGAATAGCTATATATCAATTAGCTTATATTTGAACCAGGAGTTATAAATATTTAATCTCATCATAAGTTTTTTATTTATTCTTTTTCATAGTATTGTAGATGACGTATTTGAGAGGGATTAACTGTCATCATTTAAATATTATGTGTATGCGTGCATGTTATGTGTGTTAAACTGGTATGTCTGTGTATATAAATATTGGCAGGGGTGACAATTGCATCCATTATTTTACTGCTATCACACATTATTTATTTGAATTATCATTATACCATTACATAGAATTACTATAACATGTAATATACCTTTAATTGATTCCTTATTCTCGTGCAATAAGTGTTTATTGCTTGAGTAATTAATGATGTCTTGATCTGTGACATTTTAATCTTGACATAGCCTAAGAATTAAATGAGTAAACAATATAATTAGTTTAAAAATATGTGCTAATAAAAAAAATCAATAAGTAATCTTTTAAACTCCTGGATATTTTTATTGTGAACATGTGCAAAAGAAAGACCTGGACTGTAAGAATATTTTCATATTTACCTATGATGGCGTTTGTAATGGTAGGGTTAAGGGCTTTGTAGCCCGCAGTCCCTCCCCCTTTGTAGTTGCTGATCATGATGATCTCCTTTTTGAAGAAGACACGTAGAAGATTGTATGTAAGTATAGTTGGTGAAGAGACGCCATTTCCCGCAGTTGCTAGTTTTGATGGACTGAGGAATACATTACTACCAGGAACTAAGGGCACAAGCTGAGAAATTAACAAAGTATCCATGTCAGTAAATCAGTACTACTCACATCAAATTTACAATGTTATACAAACACAATAATTCAAAATGTATAACTTATTTTTATTACACACACACCAACACACAGAGAATATAAATAACATTTAAAACATTAAATAGTAGAGTTAAAAAGATGAAAATAGATCTTGAAGCTACATACATTTAGTTTTCGGGCAACATTTATGTCGCCATATTCACCCGGCTCTGCTCTTTTATCTGTATCTACATATGCACTTGGTTGATCTGTAATTGTCTTATCCACATCTACGTGTACAACTGTAGTTGGAACTTCTGAAAATGTAAGATAATTATCATAGCTAACACGTATACAAGTCATGTGGAAGTTTTTTCTTCACACAACTGATGACAGCTGTTGGTCAATGTGCTGAAACGTCTTGTAACCATTTTTTTAAGTTAAAAGGACAAAATGTACTATTTTTAAAATACGTGTTGCATGAATATTTATTATAATAGTACTATTTCTATACATCATATTCTACCTTTTGTCACTTTTTTTCCTTTGAGCTCCCTGATTAATTTTTTCAATTCCCTGTTTTCCCTTTCCATCCTTTCCATGTTGTTTAAAGCCAGATCTTCTCCAACGAAAGGAACTTCCCCTACGTCAACATCATCATCATCACTTTCTAGCTGGCTAGCTTTTAATCGTTTGCCTTGAGGCTCTGCAGTGCTTAAGTGAGCTGCCATTTGTCGGTAGTGTTTCGCATTATTCACTGCTTTTTTTTGGGAAGCCTTCTTTTTTTTTGAACTTTCTCTTGTACGTTCCAAGTACCGCCGATAGCTGGCCTCGTACTGATCTTCATCTTCTGTATCTTCATCGACATTTTCTTCCAGCAGCTGGTTTACGGCCAGCTTCCTTTTTACTGCACTGTTGTCAGTTTGCTTTAGTTTCTCTGTGTCTTTTCTCTGCGTCTCTGTGCATGATACTTTTGATATACCAGTATGTACTGTGTGTGCTCTGGCCACCTTTTCTTCCTTTATTACTTTTGCCTTGACCTTTTGTAGATGATCTTTATCATCTGAAAGAGGATGTACTATTGGAGCTATGAGCGTTACTAATACTACTGGCAGCATTTGCATTGCTAACGAGAAAGCTACTACATGAAAAATAACTTAATATGAGTAAATATTCATGCATACCGTCTTTATTGATGATAATTGCCGGGTAAAAGGTCTTGTTTGGCTTCCATAAAGCAGTAAACAACGCTTTTCATCGTCTTCACTAAAACGTACATCTTTAGATTCTAAGATATCGTATATGCCATCTTTTACATATTTCACTAAAACATAAACTGTAAAATGAAAGGTTTTATTAGAACCTTACTTACATCTACGAATTGTTAATGATAGTCGAAAAGAACGGAAAGACATACTTGGGCCGATCAATCCACATTGAAAAATCTCAGTTCTCTCCTTTGCGAAAAACAAAACGTGCCCGACTGAGGTATAAAATGTCCACGAATTTAATTAGAGGCCTTCACTCAGTAAGCTTATATTATCGCGTCGCAAACTTCAGTTTAAATTTTTCCAGTTTCAACTCGCTGTCATAGTAGTTAACAGATTAAAGACTATTAAGTTTTAAAAGCTTGTAAAGTTCAAACGCAAGGGGGAGGATGTCTTTTCAACTGGCTTCATCGCTTTCTTACTAGTGAGAAATTCGTCTTAGAAATTGCTTTAATTGTTTTTCTTACGAATTTTCATATTGACAACTAATCTATACAGACTTACCCTTTGCTGTTAACTTTTCTGGTGGTTTTGAACTACGTTTTTTAGGCATGTTTTACGAAGAACTTCCAGTAAACCACCAAACTGACTGCAAATCTTCCAAGTTCCCGCTCTTTCCACCTTCACTTTTCCCGCCCCAAGAAAAATATGCTTTTGACCAATCAAATCCGACCACACATGGCACATGGCAAAATTCCGCTTTTCTACAAGCTGAGCCCGCGTTCAATTTCCCGAGATTCTTCGCGGTCTCAAAATTCAAGATGGATGCCGCTCACATTGGCTATTTTTGACGTTACTCGGAATACGATCGAGAGAAACTAACTTTTTTAAGTTATAATGGCGAAAAGAGGTCCATACAAATCTTATCTAGAGCTGGATGAAGCCGAGGATGTCCCAAGGACAACAAAGTATTACCGAAAGCTCCATATACAAGCAGTCAATGTAAGTCAGGACTCTTCAACTACAAGCCAAAGACCAAAGAGCTTTGACAGCGATGAAGAAAAATTAGAAAATTTTAACAATGCATCTGATGAATGCAGTTTAGAAAGCATCAATGATAACGAACAACCCTTGGAGCTTGGTACGTCTATAAAAACAAGCTTTGAAACTCATGAAGACCAAGGAGATGTATTCTCACCTTATGAATGGGATATTGAAGAGCGACAAAACAAGGAAGAATTCTTTGCTGATGATAATGAAGTGAATTTATTCGATGAAATATTTATTGGAGAGTCAGAGCAAACTTCAAACGAAAGTCTAGGATTAGTAGCCGTTGAAAGAAACGATCGTTGTGAGTCCTTATTATACGACGGAGCTCCTATAACACTTGGAAGTAGCATGCTCTTAACTATAACCTTTGCTTTATCTCACAATCTAACTGGTGAGGCACTTGCTGACCTACTTTCCTTGATAGCCTGTCACTGCAAAACTCCCAATCTCTGCCCACTCAGTATAAGGATGTTTAACAAACATTTTGAGAATCTTAAGACCCCCCTTGTGTGTCATTACTACTGCAAGTTCTGTTTTGCATTGAGAGTTGATGTAAACACCTTCCAATGCAGAGAATGTTTATCAATCATGGACAAAGAGCAAGCATCGAAAAGTTTCTTCATTGAAAGTCCAGTAGCAGAGCAGTTAAAAACGTTGTTTTCAAGTAAGTTCTTATACAATTTTCCTTACAGTTAAAAATTTAACTTTTTCAACTAGAAAGAACTGATGTAAAAATTGGCTATAAAAACATTGCAAGACAACAAATTTCCTTTATCCAAAATTTAGTATTTATAATTGTTAAAAGGGATTTATTCATTCATGCATAGAGTACAAAATAGAGTACAAAATTCAGGTGATAAATATTTGCAAACATGCAGTCACTGCAATTTAATGTTTACCATAATAATTGTGAAATTAAATATGTACAGTTAAATATAAAGTGTGGTATTCAAAATTCTTCTAGGAAATGGTTTTTATGACTTGATGTCATACCGTGAAAAGAGGATAAAAAAACAAGACAACAACATTGAAGACATATTAGATGGTACAGAATATGAGAAACTAAAAGCAAAAGGAGGCTTTCTTTCATTCAAGAACCACTTCTCCTTTATGTTTAACACAGATGGTGTTGCAATATTTCGTTCCTCAGCCTTTTCGATCTGGCCACTCTATCTTCAATTGAATGAGCTGCCTCCACATCTAAGGTACGTATTAGAAAAATAACTTCACCTCAATCTTCATGTCAGATCTGCTTCACTACCATAATCTGTGCTAAACTGCAAACAAACCATGAAACAACTATGGAAATGGGGTGGTAAGCACAGCCTTAATCGGCACCCAACATCCAACATCACCCGGGCGATGTATAATGACTGTTTCATGTCCAGACATTGCACTGTACTGCATTGTACTTCTTCACTGAACTTGATCTGCTTTCTAAATTGATTATTATGTACTGTTTGATTTTTAATTAAGGTCCAATTCAAAGAATGTAATTTTTGCTGGAATGTGGTTTGGAGAAAATAAGCCATACATGAACACTTTCCTACAACCGTTTAAAGAGTCATTGGAAACGTTACAGTCTCAAGGTATTTATGTTTTAAAACTGCATACAGTAACAAATAAAACTCTTAAAATTGCATATTTATATAATGATGTTTCTAATTACTACAACTTCCACAAGGCTGTGTGCAATTTATTCCTCTCTTTGGATTTATATAGTATCCATCTTAATTTCTCAATACAATTAGTACTAATTATCACACAAAAACATTAATTTGCTGAAAGCATTTTAGTAGTATGAGAACAATGAATATTAATTTTGATTTATTGAAATGGGAATTTCCATGTTTAATGATACTTGGCTATGATAATTAACAAAGGTTTGCAAGTAACTGCAAAGTCCAATGACGTTGAAAGAATAGTAGACATGAAGTTTATGCTTTTAAGTTCTACTTTTGACCTTCCTGCCAAGTGTATGGTGCAGGAGTTTAGCCAGTTCAATGCTTTTTATGGGTGTTCTGTTTGTAAGAAACCTGGATGCACTTGTCCAACATCAGAAAAAGGGCACACCCATGCTTATCCTATGACTGTTCAAGAGTATGACCTTCCAAGTGGACACCCACCTTTAAGAACCATAGAGTCAACCACCAGATATGCAAGAAAGGCTGTGAGGCAGAACAAACCGGTATCAATAATCTTACAACAATTTAATTAGTTTTAAATACCTTAATCATTAAATCCCCATCCCAATCCTCCAGTTGCTGATATACAAATATTTGTGTGGAGGTGAATGTTAAGCAGAAATATTTTGTACAAAATTCAAAAGCAGAAAACAGAACAAAAATGGGGATCGATAGAACTTTACCTATTCACCTGTCTTTGATCTGCCACTGCCCTAAAGCCTTGCCTGTTATGCATTCAAGCTGTGTTGTGTTTTGTAGACCATAAAAAAGACACTCAGTTTTTTGAGACTTTGAATAAAATGAACATAAATAATTATAGTATCAAATGTGTGAAGTATATGTATATTTATTATGCATTTTTTTAGTTTTTATTTGAAAATCAGACTCAATTAAAACTTATTTGCTTGTGCTTCAGGTGAAAGGTGTGAAAGGCTTTTCTATCCTGCATGACTTAAAGGGTTTCAACATTATCAGGGGTGTTGCCGTAGACTATATGCATTGTGTGTTGCTTGGAGTTGTGAAAATGTTGTTGCACCTTTGGTTTGACACTAGCCAAAAGGGTAAACCTTATTTTTGTGGCAAAAATATAGACCAGGCAGAAGAAAGGTTGTTATCCATCAAACCAACATCTAATATTACACGGACACCAAGAAGCATTGGAGAACATCGCAAATATTGGAAAGGTAAGTTAATTTTGTGGAGTAGAGTTTTGTCCAATAATTTTAATTAATTAAGTTACTTAAAATACTTTCTAATAATTATAATAGTTATGTTTTAATCATCCCCAATTTTGATTTTGCTGTAATTTGATGACTAAATGAATTTTTTGTTGTCTTTTATTCTAAAGCTTCAGAACTACGAGCATGGCTCATCTATTATTCAGGGCCTGTTATGATAAACATCTTGCCAAAGAAATATCTTAAACACTATATGTGTCTTGTCAGAGGAGTCTATCTCCTTCTTCAAGGTTCTATTTCAAAAGATGATCTGGCAGAGTCCTGTAATTTACTTTCTACATTTGTCTTCTACATGGACATTCTTTATGGTTAGTCTTGAAGATCAACAGATTTTTTCTGCAGTGGTAATACTTCAAGGGATCCCTGCCTTGTCAAACAATATTCCTCCAGATTCTCCAGCTGAAACTTTGTTCAATAAAATGACACATAAGTTAGAATCCAAGTAAGTTTTAAACATTTCAATAAAAAATTAATATGTATACTAGACAGTATTCTTTATTTAAAAAAAATTTAATCGTAATGAAACATAAGCAATTATAGCTTTTGATGGTCATCATCATATCAGTGCAACTAAAAAATTACTGTTCCACTAAAAAGGTTCTTTGTTTTGATATTGTTCCTCCTTTAAACCGGTCGGTTGAGTGCAATCTTAAATTCGCCGTCAATATATAATAGGACGATATATTAAAAACTGTAGTGACTTTTTAAGTAGTGTTTAAAAAACTCGCAGTCGTGCTTTATCGGGAGATATAGACATGAGGCCAAAGTGCTTTATCAGGATATATAGGTCCATCATGTGACCCAATAGTTGGATTCTGATTGGACTAATAGCTCATGAATTATTAATGAGTTCTAGAACTACTGTTGTTAATTTTTCGACAACTGTAGTAACATACTTAACTACAGATGTTAGTTTGACGGTCAGTGATTGGCTACAGTATTTCTGAGGCGCGATTTTGAAACGTTTACAATACTTCCACAACGGAGCAGTCTCCAGCTCAAAAAATTCAATACATGGATTTAAGTTTATAGCAATTGAGTGTCGCTTTGCTACTTGATTGGTCTTTGTTTATAACAATCAACAGTTGTATATTTTTGTTTCTGAACTCGTTTTGAACGTTGTAAACTTCAAACTAGAGTCAAAGGCAAAATCAAACCCGTTTTTGCCTAATTTGTTTGTTGTATGTCATAAGTTAAATTGTTTTCATCACAAACTGAAAGTTGTTTGCCCGGCTTTTATCCAAACTCAAGTGGAAAGTTTACACAATGATGGCCTTTGACATCAATTATCAGAGATAAGATTTAGCAAATACAGGATTAATCAACTGTATAAATGCTATTGGTCAATAGTAACAACAGTTATAGTTGAGTATATATTAAGTAGATTGTATCATTTTGACTACAGTTGTCTAAAAATGCTTACCTTAAGAAAACTGTGTGTGATTGGTATATTTAGACAACAGTTGTGCTACTGATCTATGATTGGTCAGTTTTAACAACGTTGTCTATTCCATTTTGTTTTGGCACTTTCCAGTTTCTTTTGGGGAAATGTTTATTACTATTTAAAACAAAATTATATACGGCATGGACAGTTGCACACAAATCATTCTAACAACCTGTTTTGTGCTATCATTTAAGGGAGTGCAGATTTGAATTTGCTGATGGGTTTGTTGCTATTGGTGCCTTTAAACATCACAGACTTGGGCGAAATCCACCTGAGGACAATGCTATCTCAGTGTCTCTTGGAACAGTAGGGCAATGCCAGACATTTTCTCGGTGCCAAGTTAAAGGACAGGTTGTCCATAGCTTAAGTTATAAGCGTGTTGTCAAAAGAAACAATTTTACAGTGTCTTACATTAACACACATGGGATCAATAGTTATGGCCAAGTTGCATTTTTTTTACAGAATGTTCCAATCTGTGATAGCTCATGCATAAGCAACTGTAATGTTCACAAGGCATCTTATTGGGCTGTAATTCTTAAGCTCCAAAGGCTAGAGGAAGCCCATTTACAATTGAACTTTGACCAAGAGGAATCAGATCCTCCAGTTAGAGTATTCCATCCAGAAATGTGTCTGGTTAAAACTTGCTCAGAAGCCACCGAGGTTGTCCCCATATCTCAGATATTGGACGTACTGATGTTTATCAATTTTGATTGTAATTATGCTTATGTTTGCCACTCACCGAACAAAATAGAAAAGGATTAAAACTGAATAATAATATAAATTATTCTAGCATATATCTATATTAGAGCACTTTTTTTAAATAGACAATATTATTTTATTTTAGCTAGCTGAATAATTCCAAACATCTGTTTGATATCTTTTTAATGAAAATGCATGTTAACTTGAACAGATTGCAGCTGGTATTAAATGTAATGCATTTATTATTGCAACATTTTATTTTTAAACATATTCAAAATATGTTATGGTAATGTGATCTGGAAATTATTGGAAAAGACCAACATGTTAAAAATATGTTGACATGTGACAGCTGCAATTAATTGCAAAAGACCAACATGTTTTAAACATATTAAAAACACCAACATGATTTAAACATGTTTGATAAACATATTAAAAATATGTTGGCATTTTTACTGCAAATAATGAAACATGTTAGAAACATGTTTCATATTTGGTTTTGAATCCTAGTACATGTTTAAAACATAATTAAACATGTTTTAACTGACCACTATACGATAATAGCATGAGCCCTTTGTATTACTTACTTTACTCAACATTGTAAAGATGCATGATTTAAGGTATTGCCAGGATTGCAAGTAGGAATCTCCAATCTAACGTTGGCATGACAACCATTGCTATTAATATAGTGAAAAATGAGCCTAACGTCCACCAAGGCTGAAAAAAAAGTAAACAAATTCAAAGTGCACAAGAATTAATTGTGAATGAAGACTTTTTTAGGGACGGTCCATTTAACTTTTGAGGGAGGGGTGGATGATTTCTTGTGAGCAAGATTTTTTTTTCTTCGTGGCTTTTGGGTAGGATTTTTTTTCTGTCTTGGTGGTGTGCAGGGATTTTTTGTATGTATCTTTGCAGGATTTTTTTTCCCCATATTTTAAAAAGTACAAAGTAAATAATTTTTAATCCTCAATACATCTTAATTCGTTTTTTAGCACTCCCCAGTTTGAGCCTCTCTTCCATTGCTCTATTAAAGTTGAATATTTTAGCACTAATTTTAAAATACAAACGAGTTGAGGTACCAACAGAAAATATATAAATTGATACAATTGGTACTGCTTTCAGTGGATTATGGCATATGTTAGATACTATCAATTAAATAGACAAACATTTACCGTAGTTAGATTTAAGTTTATAGTTTCTTGTTGGAAATAAAAATGAGACAAAATTATTTATTTATTTTTTATATTCGATATTCGCTATACGGGGACATGCCGCCAACCAGGGTATCGTTTTCAGCGATTTTTAACTCTGGAACAGGCTATCGTTTTCAGCGATTTTACTCTGGAACAGGGTATAGTTTTCAGCGATTTCACTCTGGAACAGGGTCAGGGTTTTGAGTTCCCAGCGGCACACCGGCCCCACCCAAGTTTGGAGGGAGTCCCCCCTAACAGAATTTTKGCTGAACACAGGATACGACTTAGTCTCCTCGCAGCCGTTCTTAGTGGCGGGCTCCCTGTCCCCCTGGGGCTGGAAACGAGAAGTATAGCCGGTACTTCTCTTCAAGGAGAATTTCAGTGACTAGGCTGCCTGTGGTCCTTCCCGGAAGTTGACTAAATATAAAGTGGGCTTCAAGGATTCTAAAAGTGTTGAGTGACACATTTGACATGGCACCATCACAGACATTCTTAAGAATTCCTCTTATTTTGTTACTGATCTTTCCTGTAGTCAGTGATGCAACTAACTCAACTTCTTCCAAAAATACCACAAAAAGCGCCAGTGAAAGTCAAACAAACGATGCCGCAAAATGTTTGAAAAGTTTGAACGATGTCAAACGTGAATTGACGTCCACAGTTCCTCCACTGCATGGATGGACAACAGACAACTATAATAATATCTCAAGGGCTTTATTCCCTGGAGTTAAGCTGCCATCGCTTTACATCAAAGTCACGCTACAATTCATTGTCAACGATACAGGCCCGGGTACAGGAAAACTCAGCGACGAAGTCCTAAAGTTCACTTGGAGTCAAAGTTGTATATTTGTATCTAACGTCTGTCTGAATGCAACGACCGTGTTTTCTTTGGGAACAGTATATCCACAAAGAAGAGAGACTGACTTGGCGTTGTCCGTTCACAAATTGTGTGAAGGAGCTTCCAAGACAAATGGTTTCAAAAATGACAACGAAACGTGGATATACGCTCTGTTTGGGGTAATGGCTGATACTGAAAATATCTTGGGCGGGAGCCCCAAACCCCGGGAGGGGGGGGGGCGGGGGTACTCCCATATATTTGCTATACGGGGAGGTGCCGCTGGCCAGGGTATGGTTTATGGCCTTGCTGTCTTAAACTGCATGGGTATACATTTCACCCGAAATGAGACCGATATATTTTTTTGTGTGTCTTGGACAGGGTAATATTTTCATAACACCGTAGAAATACCGTTTCACTGTCCCAGAATGAACGTGTTATCAAAAACTTCTTATTGTCTTTGATGGATGTCAGTATAATTGCAGTTTTGATGGTTGCGGCGTAGATAGCTATATTCCTTATTTTTCCGATTTGTCTTGAACAGGGTATGGATTTTTACTTTTTAGTGTCTTAAACAGGGTCAGCGATTTAGACCGCTGGCGGCACGTACCTATCTATATAAACAATGCATAAAGCGCTGGTTCAAATCGTAAAGTGCATCCTTTAAAAACTTTCTTTCTGCCCGTTTAAACTGAAAAGAAAATTTTTTATTCTTTGAAAATTCTTCTTCACATAGTGGGGACATGAGAGCCTCTCATATATGAAAGTCCCACATCAGATCCTATCTCAGTGCCATGCAGCYACCAAGCCTTTTATCCATGTCATTTTATCTACCTCCAAATACCAGTGAGATTCATGGGCACCTGTCATTTCTCTACCCAGTTGATTTTAGCATGATAGTATCAGGCATAAAATCAATATGCCTGGGTTAGGGTTAGTTGCTTCTARTTCCCACATGATAGAAATGGTTAGCAGAAATGAAATGATATATTCATTAATAAATCTTTAATTCTAATTGTTAAGTTGGTTATTATGTTTTTTGTTTTTCAGTTGCAAGACATTTGTATCCTTCCAAATGTTAGTGATCCACGAGTCAATACAGCACAATGTGTCATACTAGGTCATTATGGAGATAAGGACCAGCCTCTTGTTCRTCCATCCGAGTGGTACAACTGTAGAGAAGTGTGGATATTTTGTATTTCTATTTTACTTGCAATTACTATTTGTTGGTATGCAGTAAATTGGCTTAATAAGGGAAACAGGGATCAATATAAAAATACGTTTTTGTGGTCAGTTGTTTGGCTTTTTATTTTTTCAATTGTCTTGATTTCTGTAGAAATAGCATTTGTAGCAAATTGCAAAGRCAGGCATTCGCATTCCACAAAATTCTGTTTTTTAATAGTTCATTTTGTTTTCTATTTTGKCTCATTTTTGGCTAATGTTGCAATCAGCCATAAATGTCCTCCAGACGGCATGTCAGTTATGGTACCATGTATTTATCAGGTTGCCCATCATTTATTGTGGGTGTTGTGTGCAGGTATCCCAGCTGATCCTTCTTGGGCTATTCCATTGTTTTTGTGTGAATGCCTAGTAATTTTTTCACTTGTTTGTGCAACATACTTTTTCCATAAAGCTGCTGATGCTGATAAMGCTAATGATTCAAGGAAGCTGGTCATATGTCAGCTATCTGTTAGTTATATTGCAATATGCCTGGCTGTTTTCACAGTGGCAATTTCATTTTTTGGCCRCAGTGTTGCTGACATACCAACAAACAATATCTTGGAAATTATAATGGTTGCTGTGTTAGTGTGGGCAATTAAGAATTCTGGTCTTGCACCAGGTAACAATGATAATRGTCAGGGAAGGCCAGGAAATGGGGAAGCGATRGAAATGCGAGAAGGGGAAAGACGGCCATTTGCTGCAGGGTAATATGAAAATATCCTAGTCTTGGTTCCACAGTTGTACACACCATAAACTGCCAAGTATATGTGGCAGGTGCATAGCGTCATGTAGCCTTGCTTAAGCCTGACACCTACATGTAGTAGCAATGCAGAGGAAAAACACAAGTGCAAGACTATTAATTGTTGCTTAGAGCATGGACTACTTCACATACGTAACTAGTTTAAATAATTACATAAGCACATTCATGAACATCCTTGTTTGCAAACAAGGCAGTAGAGTAATTTAAACAATATTAATACT